TTTGCTGATCTCAATGGCTTTTACACAGTATGAATTTGTAGTGCCTTCAAATTGCAGGAAGATCAATATATCTTTAGTATTAGTTTTCCAATAAACTTTTGAAAATTGAAATATAAGTTCAGAAAAGTGCACAGATCGTAAGTATACAATTCAGTGAATTGTCACAAAGTTACCCCACTTAATGTAACCAGTACCCAGATTAATAAACGAAACCATACAAAAACTCTGCTCGAGTACTTTTCTAGTCACTCCCCATTCCCCCAAAGTGACCGCTATCCTGACTTTTATCATCACAGATTAGCTTTGCTTATCTATTTTTTCTGTTGTGTTGTTGCTTTTTCTTACTGACTTTTGGAAACAACATACAGGGTGGGGCAAAAGTAGGTTTACAGTGTTCGTATGGAAAATAATACAATAATTAATAAATAAGAATATAAGAATAAACTCTGTTATGTGTACTTACAAATATAAACTTACATTTGCCCAGCCTGTATATTCTGGTATTCTTATGAGTTCTTTGTATTGCAAATATCTTTTCTCTGTGGCTTGCTTTTGCATATGCTTAATGGTGTCTGTTCAAGAGCAGAAATTTTTTATTTTAATATAATCCAGTTTATCAAACTTTCCCTTTATAGTTAGTGCCTTTTGATTTTGTTTAGGAAGTTTTTGCCTTTCTCAAAGTCATGAAAATCTCCAGCTAATAAAGATAGTTTCTAGAAACTTTATCTTACATAATTATATCTATAATAAATGAATTCATTTTTGTGTATGGTGTGAATTAAGAATAAAGCTTCAATTATTTATATGTAGATATCCAAGTGATCCAGCATTATTTATTGATAAGGGCATTCTTTCCCCAGGGAGCCACAATGTTGCCATATTACTAATCAAGTAACCAGATATTTATGGAAATGTTTTTATATTTTCTTTCCTTTTGTTGATTAATTTCTTTATGCTTGTTCCAGTACCACACTGTTTTAATTTGTATAGCTGTATAGCAATTTTTTTTCCTGGTAGCGTAAACCTTTTAATTTTTTGTTATCAAAGGTTTTGGGCTATGTTTGGCCCTTTATATTTTAATATAAATTAGAAATTATCTTGTCAGTTTGCACATGTGTAAGCACACACATTCACACACAAACCTTCTGGGGTTATGATTGGTTTTCTGTGGATCTCTAGATCTGTTTGGGGAACATTGATATCTTTACAAAATTGAGTTTTCTAATCCATGAAGAAGACACATCCTTTCATTTATTTAGGTCACTTTTAATTTATTTCAATAGGCTTTTCAGTTTTCTGGTTGTGGTTATATACATAATTTGTTAAATTTATTCCCAGATACTGATTTTTTAATGTAATTATAAATTGTGTGTGTTCTTTTGTTTATACTATATACGTAACTTATTTCTAGGACATAAAAAATGATTTTTGATCCTAGCTTGTTTTACTCAGTGGTTAGAGCATCAGCCTGGGAACTGAAGGGTCCCAGGTTCGCTACCGACCAAGGGCATGGATCTGGGTTGTAGGCTTGATCCCTGGCCCCCAGTCAGTTCGGGTGAGTGCAGGAGGCAACCAATCGATGTGTCTCTCTCACATCGGTGTTTCTCTCTCTCTTTCTCCCTTCCACTCTCTCTGAAAGGCAATTGAAAAAATATCCTCGCGTGAGGATTAAAAAAAAAAAAAGGTTTTTGTATATGTTGCTATTGTATCCAGTAAGGCATTAAATTCATTTATTAATTCTTTAATATCTGTCTTTAGATTCTTTTGGATTTTCTACAGACTCAGTCATATAATTTATGAAGAATAGTAACTTCTTCCCAATCATTTCTTTTTTTTAATCAGATATGGAGGAGGGCATTTATTACAATGCCTAGAACCTCCCTTATAGTGTTAAATAGAATTCATAATAATAGGTATCCTTTTTTTGTTGGTCTCAGAGCCAAAGGTGTTAGCATTTTACTAAGTATGATGTTTGCTATATTTTTATGACATCTATCACATAAAAGAAGTTTCTTTTATTTTTAGTTTACAAAAGGTTTTTATTATGAATTTGTGTTAAGTTTTCTGTATGTTTTGAGATGATTATGTGATATTTATACTTTACACTTTTAATGTGATGAATTGATAAATTTTCTAATGTTAAAGCCAACCTTGGATTCTGAGTATAAACTTAATTAAATTAGAAAACAGTAAACACATCTAGGGGATCCCAGTGTTTGGAAATTTATCAGTATACTTCTTAATATCCCATTCATCAAGGAAAATATCACAGTAGAAATTAGCATTCAGAGAATTAACAAAGTCAGATTAGTTTGCTGAAAACGAATCAACTTCATACTAGAATATTTGAAACTTAAATGAAATAAATTCTAGGAAAAACATTTCAAAACTGTTATAAGAAGAAATGGAAAATCAAAAGAATCCTATCTATTTGAGAAATTGAATCTGTAGTTGAAAACCTTCCTACAAATTAAAAGCTTGGCCAGGGTAATTTTATAAGTGAATTTTTTCAAAAAATAGGAAGAAAAAAAAACGCATTCTAATTCTTTTTATGAGGATAGCATATCTTTGATAACAAGCCCTGATGAAGAAAGATCTCAAAAGATACATATACATGCAAAAACAAATAAAAATTTGCTTATCAAACTCAAAAAGTTCCTTGGTGCCCCTTCCCATTGCCAGTCCCTACCCCAATTTGGGCCACCATAGATAGATTAGATATCTCTTTTCTAGCATTTTATAAAAGTAGAATTGTGTAGCATATACTATCTGGTGTTTGGCTTCTTTGAAGGGAAAAAGCAGTGCAGAATGTTGGGCTCATCACAGTGCATTTTCCTTATCTCCAGGACCTTAGCCTTCAAGGCTGGGCTGACTTGGTAAACCTCCTTTTCTTTCATATTAATGTGTTTGTATTTTATTCAATTCTTCTAGTTGGTGTTAATAGGAGGGTTGGTCTAAAATATGATAGTTCATGATAGCCCAAAGCTCCAGCAGTATTTAGTGGAAGTACAAAGATACAGAGGTCAAGGGTGAGGGTGAGTATTCTCATTAAATTGAGCAGGATTGAAAGATTCAAGCATATCTTGTTCCCATTAAATATAGGATATATATCCTATATCGTTATACCAGTCAGGATTCAGTGCTAAAAACTACATGCTTAGCAGGAGGACATTGAGTGGTTATAAATTATTGGAAGGTCTGAAGGAGTAAATTCTAGACTAGGCCTATGAGAATGACTCCCCAAACCAGCTGCTCTGTCAGGGAAGCTACCACCTCAGACTGCCGCTGGAACTGCACAAAGGCACAGTTGCTGTCCCTGCTCCGCCATGAGCTCGCTTGCTAGCAGCAGTAACAAAGAGGCCCAGCAAGAAAGCCTTTCCCTCACTTCAGCCTTTCAAATTTCACAGTTTGAATCGAACACTACTTGAAGGGAATATAGGAATTATAGTTTTTGGCTTAGGAACTTTTCCAGATCTTAGGAGCATGGATTGAGAGCCAAGTAAAAATTGCTACCATGCATATAAATTAAAAGTCTAGCGTTTCTGTAACATTGCCATCAATTACTTTAATGTTTAATGAGACTTTCGATCTTCTGTATTTTTTTTTTCTGTCTGCTAAATGAGCATATTATAACCTGTGATTTAATGCATATCAATCAATTAAAGGTTGTATTTAAGTTAATATTTTAATATTTATTGAGGATATACAAGATGCCTGACATTGCCTTGGTAGCTCTAAAAATTTAAACAGCTTACCAAGATTGACATTACCTAATTCCAAGATTATTTTCAAATCATGAAATTAGTTTGTTTCATAATCAAGTGTGTATGGAAACTTTCATCAACTTCATTTATAATTCTTATTGTATATTCAAGGACACTCTATGATATATTCCATAAATATAGCAATTCAGATCTTGATATGAAAATGTCACTGGTAAGTATAGCTTCCTCCCACATTGCCCTTTATATACCACAACACCACATTTGTTGATCAGTTTCCCCCCTGCTTGCTTTTTCCTTAATCAATAAAAGGTTTGAATAAAGTCAGGACAATTAACACCAATATTATCTGTATGTTTTTTGGATTGTTGTAAGCTACTGAGGTCTTATGATATTTTCAATAGCTATCAATGGTTTGTACTCAAGGGGAGAATAAAAAAATAACAACAAACACAAAGAAACTGGTGAACTATAATGATAGTTAGCTTGACTATTAAGCAATGAAAATGTTCAGGTCTAGAAGTTACAAGGTGTACAATACTTAAATAGTGTGACGATGTGGGGCTAGCATTTTTATATGTCACATAGGTTCTGAAATTCACCTCAATTTTTCTCATGCTGTTTGCATTAGAAAGAATTCATTTCAAAGATCTCTAAGAGAGAACTGACTTAATTTTATTTTAGGGCTCAGTGAATGTAAGACTTTATTTCATAAGTATTCTAATAGGATCATTTCAGAGAACAGAGAGCATTTCCTTTAACATTTTTATTATCGTTCATTTATTAGTTTGTTCGTCTATTAGTAAATATGAGTTTTAGAACCGAGTAGTACATAGTTGCATTTCTAACATGTATTTTATTTTTGTGAAATTATAAGATTTGATTAAACTCTGAAAGAGCCCGTGGATTTCTTTATTTACCTAACCATCCACTTGATTTCAGAAAATTCTCTGGTTAAATATTTGAATGATAATGTCTGATCAGTGAAATCTTTGAGTGTTTTTCAAATTATTCCTGATCATAACTTTCTTTCATAACTTTCTTTCATTATCTTTCTCAGAGGTTGTCTGTGATTATTGGGTATCTGTAGTGCTTCACTAAACAAATTTAATTTATGCTGCTTTGATTTCTAGTCAACTTATAAAATAATTTGTCAGAGGATGAATGTGTGGGAAAATATCAGAGAATTATAATTAAGATTGTTTTACTTTATTTGAGACTTTAAAAAATGTCAGTAGTAAAGTGTGCTTTAATTCATTTATTTTTCTTTGCCCTCAGGTGGATCTCCATACTTAGCAACCAAAATAAATGAAGCAAAAGACTTGTTGGAAGAAACCACCAAACACTGATGAATGCTCAAGGATTACTCTGAAGGAAAGGGGGGTGAGGGGGCTTAAAAAACAAAGTCCTGCATATTGAATCTAAACCACCACCGTCAACATTTTCATACATGTGCTAACCCTAAATAATAATTTATTCCACTGTTAAGCAGTATAATAATAAAAGATTAATAATCTGTCTTTTTATTATCTTTTAATGGAAAACCTTAAAATTCTATAACTGATATTTTTTTCTTATTGTCTTACTTTCTCTGTGATAGTCATAAATTTTAATATTTTGTTCTGTTTTAAATCCCCCATATTCTGCTCCCCCCCACAAAAGTATGCAAAAAATATGATTATTAGTAATGTAATTGGTATTTGTAAGCAATAAGTGGAATTGTTTTTACTGCTTACACAGGGGTGGGCAAAAGTAGGTTTACAGTTGCATGTGACATTCTTTTGAGTTAATAAAGCTATTGTAATAATCATAACCTGCATGGGTTTTTTTCCATATGAACAACTATAAACCTACCTTTGTCCACCCCTGTGTTTATACTCACATCGTCCCTGTATCCTCAGAAATTACTGCTATGCCTGTGTAAGGGGTTTTAAATGTTTTGAGACCAAACACTGACTGCCATCCCATGGGGAAATGATCTGAAGCTTAATGGAATTTACAAAATAGTGTTTTCTAAAGTAGTGGTTAGGACTCGTTAAAGAACTCTGCTCTCTCTGAGACCCTATAGAGCTGAAGCATGAGAACTTGGAGAGCTACTAAAATGATTAAAGATTTACAAAATGAGCCCTATGAGGAAAGGCTGAAAAAAGCTGTGAGAAGTCTGAGGAGTTTGTGTTTAATTATAGTCTTCTGGTACTGTATATTTATTCAGTTATTCATTCCAAATATTTATTGACCACTTAAAGTGTGTAAGATGCTGTAGTGAGCCCTCTGGGAGTTACAAGTGTGAACGAGACATGGTTCCTGACCCAAAGGAACTAATATTTTTAATATTTTAAATTGAGAGCATTGGCGGAGCTTCATAGAGTAAGTGGCATGGAGCTGGGCTTTAAAAACAAGATATACCATAGGATTGATGGGTCAGTGTGTTTCTTCTGAGATAGTCAGAATAGCAGAAATGGGATATTAATTACTGTGACTAGAGTGCAGGGTTTCTCAAAGCAAGGTGTTGACATTTGGTCTGGAAGAGCTGGCCCTCTCGTTTACACTGCATTATTTTTTCAAAACAGCCTCTGGTCATTATCACTTTTCTATTCCAAAAGTGAGAAAACAGATTCAGGTACAGAGTACCAGCATTATTTTCCATTATGTACTATACAAAATCTGGGTTCATCCCAAGTAAGCTGAACTACTGTATTTCATCTATCTGAAAATACTTTTTAATATTCTAGATGCATCTTTCAGCTTATTGCATCTAGAGTTCTCAATGTTGGCAATATTATCAATATCGAGTTGAATAACCCGTTTGTGGGAGCTCTCCTGTGTGATGGGGGATGGTGGGCAACACCCATGCCTGTGCCTACTAAAGGCCAGTAGTACCCCTCAGTTGTGACGACTAAAAGTGTTTACAGACATTGCCAGATGTCCCCTGGTTGAGAGCCATGCTATAAATGCTTTGTATTTTTTTCTTTTGGCACATAAAATGGCCTAACTTAAAATTGATTGAATTTCGGGGTTAGTAAAATATCATTCTTGCTTTAAAGTCTCATTGCATGTCCTAATTTTATTGTACTTTTAGTGTTTTTTATTTTTCTGCTCACTGTTATCTCTGTACCTCAGGTGCCCGTCTAATCCTCAGATCTTCACATGTTCCTGGAGATCATTGAAGACCAAGCTAAAATGTATCTCTCCTTTTCTAGTGCTTCCAGTAAAAGTAATATGAATCAACTCTCTGGGAGCAGGGACCATATCTGTCTTGTTTACTGCTACATTGGCGCCCAATAAATATTTGTTGAATGAATGAATAAATTCCCATACCACTTTATTCCTCACTTTACAGTACTTATATCGTGGTAGCGTGTGTAACATGCCTTATTTCTCCACTAAAGTGTAAGAACCCTTAGAGCAAAAATGTTGTCATCCATCTTTGTAACCTCTCCAGTGTGGAGCACTTGTATTTAATAGACATCATAGGTTGTAAGTACTAAGAAAATGTTTTCTGAATAAGTATACTTCAAAAAATGTTACTGCTAATTTTGAAAGTTATGCTAAGCAATATTTGGGCACCCTCAGGACATACGTTTTAATTGACATATTTTCTGACGCATGCTATATGCATGAGAATTTGATTCCCCAGCATTAGCTTGGAATTTCTTTCATTCCCATTTTCCTGCTAAGCATGTGCCTCGGAGTTAGATGTGGTTTTGGATATTATCCTCCTATTACATGATCTTGGGCAGTGTCTCTAGTTGCCTCATCTATAAAATAGAGGAAATGATGATCCTAATGAGGTTGTTGTAGGACATAAGGATGTGTAAAGCGTTTAGTCACATAGCAGATGCTCAAAAAATATAATTATTACTTCTTTTACTGCTCCTTTAGGTTTAAATCTTAGAATACCTTAGATTAAGGTTTGAGGTGTGTTCCAGTAATTATTTATCTTACTCTTGAATCTCCAATTTAGGAGCACGTGGTGGGGATGGATCATTTCTGCTTCATGTAGCCTCAGTTGGGGCAGAAGGAGCCACTTCATGTTAGCGCTGGCTGCCGGCCGGGCGCCCCAGTTCCTCTTCACGGAGGCTTCTCGGGGGCTACTAGAGCATCATCACAGGGTGGTAGCTCGTTACAAGAGAAACTGGTCCTAACAGACAGGAAGTGGAAGCTGCCACTCCACCTGGGTCTGAACACGGGCAGTTCTGACAGTCATAGAGCCTGCCTAGATTTCAGAGGGAGGGGATATAGAGGATAGTAAAACAATAAGTGGTCATTATTATGCCGCAGGGCAGGATTTGGGTCGCCCTGGTCCCCCAGCCCTAGTCAAATCAGTTAAGGCATTGTTTTTAAAAAAAGTAGAATTTCAGTACAGTTAGCTGAAGCAGTTTCAGATGATACAACTATTTTAGGTAGCTATTCAGTAGTCATTCTCAAAGTGGCAGTGTCCTTATAAAATTGGATTTTAAACAGCTACCCACCCTCCACTCCTTATTATCTGTAAAGGCTTATTTGAGTGGTTACCTATCTTCAGTAAAGATTGCTTTGACATATTTGCTGTCATCGCATATTCTTCTTAATTAAGTTCTTTGTTGATATTGCAGCTTCTGTTTATTCTTTTATCTTTGGTGCAATCTGAGGGAGCAGGACAGACTTTTTAAAAGCAAAACAATTTCTCAGATTCCAGAGAAAGTGTAAGTCAAATGGACAGTTAATTAAAGGGGAGCCCAGGATGCCATTTGGACTATGGTTGATGGTGCCAATCTCCAGCATAAAGTCTAAAGTGGAGAGAAGTCACTAAGGAAAAAGGATGTCGATTGTGGAAGACATTGTTTTATTTAGTCTTGAAACCATTCCTTTATTTGGTTTGAAGTGCATTTTAGCCATTCAGCAAATATTGTACACTTAGTACATCCTGCAGTAAAGATAAAATAAATTCATTCTTAAAATGTATAGTATGCTCAAACTAAATAGAAAAAAATTCTTAAACATAGAGGACTTTTTTTTCTTGACACTTTTGAATTAAGAAATACAGGCTTATGATTACCCAGCAGGGTCATTAGCAATAACATATTTTATCCAAGTACAGAAATTCTTTGGTTGTCATGGGAAACCTCAAACACAGAACAGAACTTTTAATGACATATCTTCAACACATTTGGCAATTAGCTTAAGGTAGTTTTATGACATTTGTCAGAGAAGATGAATTAGACAGGCCTTTAATGTCAAAAATGTGAAGTTTCTCTGACTCAACCTGCTTAGAACAAGCTACCAAGGCAGAGTGAGAAGTGAAAATCCAAGTAGGCCAACTCATTTCACACTGAGAGCCACGCTATCCACGGGCACTCTGTACCTCACTCAGCAGCCACCTCTCAGAATGAGGCCTCCTGCTGCAAGGGGGATTTGATGGCAGTGAGTAAATGTGTCAGCATCGTACCTCCCTCCCAGTGGAAAGGCAACCCAAAGAGCATATCTCATTAACACTAGATTAGTATCTACTTGTCATGAATTATGAGCTAAAATTTCATTTATGGTAGAGGTATACATATTAGGAAATTAGAATTTTGTTAGAATAATTTATTAGCTGGAAAAGTTGAGGAGGTTTTCTGGGCTCATTTTTTTAGGTGGAATCTAAGTGATCTGGATTATTGCCTACCAGTGAAATTGCTGGGCATGGTAGACAAAGAAAATGTTCCTTCTAATGATTTTTATGAGCTGAGTAGCTATTGTTCCCAGCTGAGTGCTCTTTTCCTTTTTATATTGTTGCTGAGCAAAAGAATTTATAAAAAGCTTTTTTAAAAAAAAAATATTAAAACCCCTGCTCAATTGAAATGCAAGTTCATTAAGTACTGTTCATTTCTCTTCCTGCCATAATAGCCCTCTCCCCCTCTGCTCTATTCAGAAGTGCCTAGCAGCACTGGTCAACATTTGAAGTCTGAACAGACCATTCTAGATATGCAATCTGCAATATTAAGAGTGAGTTTAATTTCACATCGGCAGGGTATGATCACTCAGGCTACACGTTAGCCCCAAATTTCAAATTCTTACCTCAACTTAGAGGAAGAAAATGCCCCTGGAAAATTAAATCAACAGTGGGAAACTTAACCTGATTTTGACAAGATGAAAATCATCTTGAGATACTGCTGCAATGCTAAGCTATAATGCTAAAGACCAAGAAATGAGAATCGGCTCCTTTTCATAAAACCAAAATATTTCTTTAAATTTTTATTTATTTCAGGGCGAGAGAACCCGATTTGTTGTTTCCACTTACTTATTCATGCATTCATTGGTTGCTTCTTGTATGTGCCGTAACCAGGGATCAAATCCATAACCTTGGCATATCGGGATGATGATCTTATCAACTGAACTACCCAACCAGGGCTTAAAATATCTATATATTTTAATCTTCACCTGAGGATATGTTTTTATTGATTTTGGAGAGGGAGGAAGGGGGGGAGAGAGAGAGATCAATGTGAAGGAGATACATCAATCGGTTGTCTCCCATATGGGCCCCAACCAGAAATG